ATATATATATATATATATATATATATATATATATATATGTGTGTGTGTGTGTGTGTATATATATATATATCCACTTCGGCCCATCAGATGTAAGTGAAAGCGTTGCCGCAGCTCGGCTGCACTCCGCGCCGCAAAGCAGCAGCAGCAGCAGCAGCAGCAGCAGAACGAGAAATATGGTTACCTTGAAATTCCCTCTCATACGGATGAGAAAAATAGCAAGCGGCGGTCAAGCCCTTGAGCACTGCGGGGCAGCTCCAGAGAAACTCTCCTCTCCCTCTCCCCCTCCCCCTGCCCCCCCGTGTGCTGCAACTCTGCTTCACAGTCGGTAGAAAGGAGGAGACGCGCAGCTGCCTATACACCGCGGCTATGCGCTGTGGTTTGGCTTCGATGAGGGTATCATCGTTGTGTTTCCCCCTCAAAAAAATTAAAAAAAATTAACTAAGTAGTGGCGAGGGAAACGGGAAAATAAATATTTTATTTACTATAAAAAAGTAAATTAGAAAGAAATACTGATTGACGAAACAATAACCTCCTTGTAAATATTATCATAAAGTGTTTATTCTCTCCGAGTGTAACAAAACATAAAAAGTATATCTGAAAGAAAGCCAGGGCCTCCACTCTTCCTCTCCCCGCGCTGCGCCTCTTATATTTAGACAAAAGCAAGATAGAAGGATACGTTCTTCATGGGTGCTTTCAGGTGTACAGACAGCTGCAGCTGTATACACTGCTGATACTACTTTCGTTTCAATGCCGCGCAGCAACCAGCCCGTGATTGGCTCCGCAGGGACTTGTACTAAGTCTTTACTCTGCGGGGGGAGAAACTAGCTGCATTAGTTAGAGAAATTTATAAAAAAAAAATAAAAAGTTGTTCTGTTTGTCTATGCTTTGAAAAATATGTTAAAGGATATAACTGATGCTATGCTGCATTATTTATTTATAAAGATGTTTTGTTTTGCGGTGTATAGAAGTTTGTTTGCTGCTGCCACCGATGATGCATGCGGTGCTACTACAGCTGCACTGAGTTAATATATTACGCTTTTAGGGTTTAAGGTTTAGGGTTTAGGGTCTAGGGTTTTAGGGTTTAGGGTTTAGGGTTTCAGAAGAGAACTCTCCTGGAGAGCAGCTGAGTTACCATGGGGCTGATCCTCATGCTGCTAGACAGCGGAGATGCATGCATGCAATCCAGCCCCATGCATGCACAATGCATGCGCTGGCAGTGTAAGTAATTTATTAAGCCCTTGTATGCAGCCTGCATGCGGAGAGAGAAACACACACACGAGTGCATGCATCCACCTGCGTACACACCGAGAACCCTAAAACTTTATTCAAGCTCTAGGAGCTTTCTTATGCTGCAGAGAGACAGAGACAGAGAAGAGAGAGACAGAGAAAGCCGCTGCAGCAGCCCCACAAAGACAGCAACGGGGGGGCAA